TGTGGCTGGGCTTAACTGAGATGAATTACTGTAAGAGCTGTGTGTACAGGAGGGTCTATCCAGCATTGCTCAGGGTGATGGATCTGGGTCCTAAATCAAGTCTAATAATGATCTGGAGAAAGGGTTAAACAGTGAGGTAGCATATTTTGCAGAAGATGCATTACACAAGTATATACAATAATGATGATCTAGAGAAGGTATATCCTGTTATCCTGTTCTCATAACACAACAACAGGGGGACATTCAATTAAATTAAAAGGTGACAAATTCAAAACTGATCAAAGGAAATACTTTTCCACACAATGTATGGACAGTGAAACTCATTGCCACAGGATGACTTTGAAGCCAAGAATTTAACAAGAATCAAGCCGCAAATGACCATTCATATGGTCAAGAATATCCACAAGAATAAGGAATGTTTACAAAAAATTTGGAAGGGATATTAAACCTCAGACTTCAGGGTTTAAACCAAGCTCTAATTATTAGGGATTAGGATGAGATCTTCATTGGGGCAGATTACCCACATCTGCCTACTATGGGGCTTCTTCCCATTTCCTCTGAAGCATCTGGTGCTGGTCACTGTCAGAAACAAGCTAGTAGGCTAGACCGAAAGGAAGGCTCAGTGGCTGAGGTGCTAGCCTCAGAGTTGGGAGACCCGCGTTCCATTCCCAGCTTCACCAGAGACTTCCTGTATGACCACGAGCATGTCAGCTGGCTTCTGTGTGCATCAGCGGCACAGCCCTGCTACATGGAGGTGTTCTGAGGGAAAAATACGTGAATGACTGTGAGGTGCTCAAATACTGTGGTAATGGGGGTCAAACAAGACCATGGGTCTGATGCACTATGGCAATTCCTATGGATGCTGGGGATTCTCATCTGTGGAATGACTCCTGTCTGCAAAAAGCCTCTTTGGATTCCATTTACAGAAAGTGGCTTTAAGAAACTCTTGAGCTTTCATGTGCCTGATGCCCCATTCCCACCACTTATTTCACTTCTGAATGCTGGGCTGGGTGTTCTTCACCCTATGGTGCCCTCCCACACAATAAAATTACATTTATCATCAGGAACCGTGGAACAGCTGCTTTAACTCTTCAGGCCCAGCAGCGCTCGGCAGTTAACATCGCCCTTCAAAACAGACAAGGTCTGCCTCAAAGCAGAAACACTGTCACCACACCTGACAGTACGGCTTTTCTCTGGGAACACAGAAATCATTTCATTTTGACCACATGAAGTAGCCTCATGGGCTCCACCGAATTTCCTTTCTCAGGAGCAGTTTATAACTGAAGAACAAAAAACAAAGCGGAGCAAAAGAGGACATGGAGAGTTCAGAGTCTGGCTCATTGAGTGCTTTGAAATATAAAAGACATGGGATAAATTTGCATCACATCACCCTAACCGGCTTTAATTAGCAGACAGGATGAGTGAATTTCATGTAATGGAAAAACAGTCCACATATTAACCTAAGGGCGGGAAGTATGAAAGCACACTCAGCCCATCATTCCTGGCTTTTGACTATGGCAATTCAGGAATGGAGCAGCTATCCGCAGGGGACGACAGGGGGTTGCCTGTGGGCGAGCACAGGGCAAAGAGGACCAGCATGACAGGGTAGGTCACAACGAGGAGTATTCGGCTGCTGGAGACCAAGGGGAGAAAGACTAGTAGGGAGCCAGAGAGTGGGGTGGTGGCCCCACTGGGCATAGAGAGGAAGCAGAGTAGGGTGGGCAGATTGAATGTGGGCAGGGTCCAGTGGGAAGCAGAGATACATGTCAGGAGGAGAGGTGGATGTGTGCTTTGTGGTGGGAGTCTTCAGACTGGGAGATGTGTTGCCTGATTGGGAGAAGGTCCATGTCGGTCATTATGGGCTATTTTCAAAAATGAGAATGAGAATTAAATGAGTATGAATAATGAAAAGAGAAGTAACTTTTCTGGAATTTGATGGTAACTAGGCAGGAAATTGGTGTGAATCCAGTGGGAGAGGGAAAAAAACATTCAAAATCTATTAAGCACCAGCAAAACGTCTGCAGCCATTCCATCTTGTGCCAGGACCAGGTCATATGGCACCAAGCTAAATAGGGATGTGTCAGCCGTTGGTCAGGAGACTAACTTGGTGCTGTGGTACGTGGTCTGATGATTCAGTAGATCACATTCTTTTCTCTGCATTACTGACTAGCCAAAGGTGCTAGCACCAATCTGGGAGCACGATGCTGCACTGCTTTATGATGAACAGTAGAATCAAGGTCTTGAATACTCATGGTCATCAAATATCCCAGGGCTCTTTCTGAATGAACCACTGTGGTCCTGGCTAGATATTAACTGGAGAATTTGCATGCTGCTTAATTAAATACCTTCCACTGTTCCAGTCACACATGCTTTTCTTTTTCACACCCTGTCCTACACTGTTGTGCAGTATTGCTGTGCACTGTTAAACAGCTTTCATGTTCCACCCGAGAGGTGGCTGAAGTGAGCCCTTTGAAAAGGCACTCTGGGGTGCTCCAGCTTGAAAGTCACATTATAAAAACAAGTTTCATTAGAGAACTGAGTTCAATGGCTGCTCTCAAAAGATAGCTCATATGAGTCAAATAAAGTGAGATTAAGGCTCAGTTTTTCAAAGCTGCCTGGAGGACTTGGATGCCAAATTCCCATTAACTTTGGTGGCTTAAGTGGCTCTGAAAATGTTTAGCCTAAATCAACATACAATCTTAAAATGAGGTATTCACATTCCAGACCAGGCGACAGACAGGGAAGGAATTAAGATCAAGTGAAAATCAAGATTAAAAACCCCTAAACCACCAAATTCCACTCTTCTGTCATAGGAGGCACCCCCATGGGTCAAGATAAGATGTATCTAAATACGTGAGTCCTTCTCCAGCCCAAACCTCAATAACCCTTTGAGTTTTGCTAGTCACTGACTGCAGCTGGGGAAACCATCTTTACAGTTTGGTTTCCCTTAGCTTCTGTATGGCTCACCGCAGACAGGAGACTCAAGTAGGAGTGCTAGCTATACATACTGAGGCCTAAATGTGGAACCAGCAGGGACAAGAACTGCAGCAGGGCATGAAGCTTCAAGATGCAGAGTTAATTTCCTCTGGCCTTGTTTTCATCTCATGTATTTCTTCCATGAATAATTTGGAACAAAGGCAGGGATGAGCCAGAAATAAAACCCATGATCCAATCACCCCCGAACGTAGAGAGAGCTCAAATTCAGCTCTGAATTTCTCAGCTTGGGGCTGGCTCTAAAATGAACCAGATAAAACCCCAGACAAAGCCTCACTCCTGAACTTGGAGAAAGTGTGGATCCACACACCCCTGCCTAAATAGTTGCATGGTAGGAAGACAGGATGGGGTTTGGAATGTGGGTTAATTGAAATGGAATGGGATGTTGGCTTAAGTCTTTATGTTTGTTATGAGTTTATGTTACTATTCTAAGGGCTTGTCTACATTACCTGCTGGATCAACGGGCTGCAATCAATCCAGCGGGGGTCGATTTATCACATTTAGTTTAGATGCGATAAATCGACCGCTGAGCGCTCTCCTGTCAACTCCGGTACTCCACCAGGGCGAGAAGCGCAGGTGGAGTTGACGGGAGAGTGTCAGCCATTGACTTACTGCAGTGAAGACACTGCGGTAAGTGATCTAAGTATGTCTACCTCAGCTACGTTATTCACGTAGCTGAAGTTGCGTAACTTAGATTGTTTTCCCCCTTAGTGTAGACCAGGCCTAAGAGTCATACCCATGCATCACACTCTTACTGAAGTCAATGGGAGTTATGCTTAAAAAAGGATGGCAAGATGTGGCCATAGTTGCTTTTTCTTTTCCACTTCAACAGTCACACTCAACATGTTTCTTTCTATCTTAAGCATACGGTATAATGGACAGAGCTGTCCTCACCAAGAGCACAAATGTTTATTTATTTCCTATGATAAGCATTGGCAAAAATCTGTCAGATTTCTTATATTTCTGGCTGCTGTTGTGTTTAGAAGCAGAAGTTTCCTTCTGCTCCCTGAATCACGTTTAAGGCTTTAACTTGACTTGCTATGCAGATTTAGCCTAAGTCTACTTCTAAGCTATTATGCTTTCCAATTGTCAACTCTGGACTAGATGACTTGGGGCTAATTTCCAAAAGAGCTCAGGGCCAGATGTTCATGGGTTCAGCACCCACAGTTGGGCCCAGATTTTTCAAGAGAGCTCCTTCTAGGCATCTAAATAGGGCCCAGATTTTCAAAAGTACTTAGCACCTATTGTGATACTTGTGACCTGAGCTACATACCAAGCCTGCACCTAATCTTGTGAAAACCTAGCCCCTGACAGGCATCCTTGATTTGCCGATATTTACATCACCAAAGGAGGTTGGCCACATCCTGAGGCTTAGGGACTGCTGGACTGGTAAACAGTCTTGATTTTCTTTCTCTAGATTACGTGTTGTGTGTAAAGCAACAGGGATTGACTTTTATTAGTAAGAGTATTTGAAGCATGCTATTTTCTTTTGGATGAGGGAGTTTTCAGATTCTCCCCAAAGTTAAAACCAACACATGTAACACATCAGTGTTTCTCAAACTTTTGTAGTACTGGTGACCCCTTTCACATAGCAAGCCTCTGAGTGTGACCCCCCTTATAAATTAAAAACACTTGTTTATATATTTAACACCATTATAAATGCTGGAGGCAAAGCGGGGTTTAGGGTGGAGACTGACAGCTCGCAACCTCCCATGTAATAACCTCATGACCCCCTGAGGGGTCCTGACCGCCCGTTTGAGAACCCCTGACATAGGTGAATGCCTTTTTTGTAACATGTTTTGTATATTAGCATTATATGACTCACAAATGGAACCAAAGTGAAAGTGGCCCATTTTATATATGGGAGCGCACAAATATATGTAACCTCAAAATATGACATACTGTCACATATTTAAAACACATCTGTCCTTTTCACATGGGAAAATCTGAGCAAGTGTATTTTGTGAGTACCTCCATTTTTTGCTGCTCAGAGAGCAGGTACTTACTGGAAGCTGTATGCAGTTTTGGTAACACTTCAGGCTTGAATACAGGGGTAGACAACAATAATGAAGGCAGATCTGTTATAAATGAAGGAAGGAAAAGAATACAACAGGCCTTGGCATTTTAATAGAAACATATGGCAAGTTCAGTAAAGGATCAGTAGACCACATAAAATTACACATTTGACAAATCATCTGTTTATATATGTGTATATGTATAAGCCCACATACAGGGACAAATTCATTAATTCCTCTGTCATAAATGTACCAGGCAGCATTCTTTACTGGTTATCTCAGAACAACCTCGTTCTTGTACATAGGAAATAAACTTACCCGACTCTGTTTGAATAGATACTTTGGTTACTTCAGGAGAAGCTGGCTGTGTCCAGAATGGATACATTTCAGCTATGGGAACAAAACCAAACATATTTCAATAGTTATTATTTCTTTCTTGTATAATGCCAACAGCATGCTTGGTGCGCTATAGACAGATAAAGACACAGGACTCCTGTCCCCCTTGAATTAGACAGCATATAAAATATGGGGAGATGATGAAGGGTGAAGTTCAACATGCATATTGTTAGTCCCAAGGTTTTGGCAGGTCATGAACTAGTTGTGAGTAGACACGGATTTACAATACGCCCCCCTGGCATAATTCAAATGGCTGGGAGGATGTCAGAGAGGGTATTCCAGGCATACAAGGCGCCGTGGCAGCAGGCCCAGGCATGAGAAGAACACGGCTGCTACTCTGAAACCTGTCAGAAAGTGGGCTGATAGCTAAGTGGTGCGCATGGAGTGAAGAAGGCAGAAGAAAGAGTCAGGAGCATGGAGGCCTTTGGGTAAGTAGCTGCGGTAGGCAGTCCCAATAATTGTATGTAGCTCCCCTACAATGATGAAATCTCCTCACTAGAAAGAGGAAGAGGTTTCAGCAAATCCTGCCTTTGTTCAGCAGAGACAGAAGGCATTGGTGAAGATGTACCCACTGCAGAAAAAAAGAACGTATATTAAATTGTCCAGCCAGATTTCGGAGCTAATTCAATACGAGTCACATAATATGTGTTTATGGGAAAGAATCATGGACTAGATTTTCAAAAACATCTAGTGATTTTTGCATGTTCCACTTGAGACTAGAGCTGCATGGAGAAAGGCCATTCCATTTCGTGGAGGCACTTTATATTTCAAAATTAGTTTTTGTTCCAATTTGGAAGGAAAACCAAAATTTAGAATTTCTCTGTGAAAGGGAATGGTGCCCCAGCTCCAGGGCAGTCCACCAGGGGGCCTTTGAAGCTCTGGGGCTCCGGTTCATGGGGAGCCCGCATGGTGGGCTGCCCCAGAGCCCCTGACCTTGGAAGCCCACTGTCCCCAATTGGGCTGGAAGCCACAGTGCTTAGGAGCCACGGCTTCCCGGATCTCGGTTCCCCATTAGCCCCCCAGGAGGGCTGGCAAAGAGCAGGAAGGGAAAACTGACAGGAAACCAGGTATGTGTGTGCCAATTCTGCTACAATTTAATCAAAATCAAACCATCTCCATGAAAATTCACTCGTCACTTTTGAAAATCATGGCCCAAGCTCTTTCCTCATCTGACTTGAAATGTTTCAACTTTGACATATATGGAAGCAAAAAGTTACATGTACTGGATGCTGATGATGTTTGTGGGAGCTTTGATCTCAGGGTGGGCAAACTGTGCCCTTTTATGTCCACACTAGTTCTCATTTGGCCTTTTGAGTTACCATGAACCTGACTTGCTTCTCTTCCCTTCTTATGCTCAGATTTTCGGGTAGAGGCTGGGGTGTTTGATGTCTGGAGGGTCAGAAGAAGAGTTTCTATTGTTCTTTGCACCCCTATGACACTATCTGAGCTGGCTGCTCCCTGAAAATGATGGGGATAGGCCAGGGCTGATGTAATTTGTTGAATGCGAGGACTTTTCTCAAGACGGCAGCAAGCTCAAGCTTGATGTTTTTCCGCAGGAAGTAACATTTCAGTGGATTGGGGGGCCACAGAAAATCCATGGTTGGATCTAACAGGAGCTGTTTTTCTCTCCCTTCCCCATCCTGTTAAGCCCACATTCTCCTTCCAGCACACAGCCCCTGAATAGCTCTACAGAGGGTAGGAAGTTGGGCCAAGAAAGAATAATTTCCCCGGGCTACAGAGTGCCTGAAGATTCACTCCACAGCTGCTGTTACAATGCATGCCCTACACAGGCAGGGAGGACAAGCTGTCAAGGTTCCTCCCCCACTCTGAACTCTAGGGTACAGATGTGGGGACCTGCATGAAAAAACCCCCTAAGCTTATCTTTACCAGCTTAGGTCAAAACTTCCCCAAGGTACAAAATATTACACCCGTTATCCTTGGAATGGCCGCTACCACCACCAAACTAATACTGGTTACTGGGGAAGAGCTGTTTGGACGCGTCTTTCCCCCCAAAATACTTCCCAAAACCTTGCACCCCACTTCCTGGACAAGGTTTGGTAAAAAGCCTCACCAATTTGCCTAGGTGACTACAGACCCAGACCCTTGGATCTTAAGAACAATGAACAATCCTCCCAACACTTGCACCCCAGCCCCTTTCCTGGGAAATGTCGGATAAAAAGCCTCACCAATTTGCATAGGTGACCACAGACCCAAACCCTTGGATCTGAGAACAATGAAAAAGCATTCAGTTTTTACAAGAAGACTTTTAATAAAAAATAGAAGTAAATAGAAATAAAGAAATCCCCCCTGTAAAATCAGGATGGTAGATATCTTACAGGGTAATTAGATTCAAAAACATAGAGAACCCCTCTAGGCAAAACCTTAAGTTACAAAAAAGATGCACAGACAGAAATAGTTATTCTATTCAGCACAATGCTTTTCTCAGCCATTTAAAGAAATCATAATCTAACACATACCTAGCTAGATTACTTACTAAAAGTTCTAAGACTCCATTCCTGTTCTGTCTCTGGCAAGAGCAGCATACAGACAGACACAGACCCTTTGTTTCTCTCCCTCCTCCCAGCTTTTGAAAGTATCTTGTCTCCTCATTGGTCATTTTGGTCAGGTGCCAGCGAGGTTACCTTTAGCATCTTAACCCTTTACAGGTGAGAGGAGCTTTCCCCTGGCCAGGAGGGATTTCAAAGGGGTTTACCCTTCCCTTTATATTTATGACACAAGCTGAGTGATCACATGAGCAAGATTTGGCCTTTAAGCCTCCCTGAAGATGTATAAGCAAAGGACATAGTCTACTGAGTGAGTGAGAGCCCCTTATGTTCCCAGGCATCTGATCACAGCAGACCATTCTCTGAACTCACTTGATGGCTGTATTTGGGGTAAAATATCATCACTTTCCATGGTAGTAGGAGATGGCCTTGTAGTGCCATGTCCTTTTGAAGCATCTGTCTGTAACCACAAGGGCAGCTGTAGAATTGGAAATCCAGATCCTTTCAAACCAACAGTCTTTGGCCATGTGGGAAATCTTGTAGTTAGGATTTCATCTCCTTTCCATGCAACAGTCTGTTCCCAGGAAGGCATCCTGGTCGCTAAGGCCATAAAAGAACAGGAAGGATTTTGTTATCTGATTGCACATTGATGTACACTTCTAGTGCAGCACAGCCAAAGCCAAAACATCCAGAAAATGGTTAACATAACACTTTGGGGAACATGTCTACAGTACATATGGTAAAACCTATCAATTCCTAGAACACGTTGAATGGCAACTGCTCAACCTCGTTAGCGAGGTCAGGGGAGAGATGGATGCATGGTACAATTTCATTTTATTCAACATTTTCTGTTTTCTGAATGGAAAAAAAAGTTTTCAAAAAACAAACATTTTACTGAAAAGTTTTCTGTTTATTGTATAAAAAAAAAGGAAAATTAAATGTTATTTTTTCAGTTTTTTTTCCCCTCGAAAATAATTCTATCATTTCCTAACCAGCTCTACTGCTGAGCTAAGAGGTGAGGGTTAAGGAGGGTGATCATGTGAAGGGCATGTGGGGGAAAAGAAGAGGGATGAGTTTGGTGGGAGAGGGAGGGCAGAAAGTGGGATTTGAGAAGGATTGGGGAAATTGGGTGGAGGGAGTTGAGACTGGGAATGTGAAAGACAGTGAAGGTTTGGTGTGAGAGGCTTGAGAGACCTGGAAAGGGAAAGGGTTTGGGGATAAAGAGGAAACGTCTGTGAGAAGGAAAAAGATGAATATTTAGAGACAGCTGGGAGAGAAAAGATGGTCCAGTAGCTTGGGCCCTGGCCTAGCACTTGGCAGATGTGGTTCAAATCCCAGCTCTGCCACAGATCTCCTGTCTCTCCTTGGGAGTCACTTAGCCTCTCTGTGCATTCATTCCCTATTTGTAAGATGGGGATAAATAGCTCTTCCCTACCTCACAAGCTATTTTGAGGATAAATACATTGAAGACTGTGAGATACTACAGTAATGGAGGCCATGTAATTACCTTCGATAGTTAGATAGAGAAAGAGGAGACAGACTGGTGAGAAGGAGCGGTTTATGGGGAGAATGCGTGAGATTTGGGAAGCATCTTGAACTGTCTCCTCCATCTCACATGCCCTGCAACCACGTTTCCTTAATTCACATCCCTCTGTAAGACACCTCTTCTGTGAACAATGAAGTTATTTAAAAAAAAAGCTTTGGGACAGAACTTCGAATCCCCAATCACACACTATTAGCCTGATGTGTAATGTTTCTCCAGTTTACATATCTTGTGCTTTAGGAAAATGCTGTGCTTTCCTCTAGATTTTGTACTGCACCATGCACACAGTGGTGCGAACCAAATAAGAAACAGAAATGCATTTCAACTAGTCAGCCCAGGAGATTAAATATTTAGCTCTGAGGATACTTGCATACTTTTAAATGTCCAAATGTCTTCAGGGGGCTCATCCGCAATCTTGTCAGGGTCTTCTCGTAAGGTCATTAAGCTGGGAAGAATTGAGTCTATATCTTTTAGTTAGTAAAAGTTAGAGTTAGTTGTATCGTGCCATGCTCAGAATCCAAAACAAATTTGATAGCATTTGGATATGTAAATCAAACACATGGTTTTCGATTGAGTTCTGGTGTAAGAGAAACAACCATTGTCTTTGAAAGAAAAGTAGCTATTGGGCAAAATGTCTATATGTTTTTACTGTTTTGTTAAATAGGAGAAATAATTTTCTTGGACTTTATCCTGCACAGGTAAAATTCCCATTGACTTCACTTATAATATTTGTGATGTTCATATTGAGCAGAAGACCAATTCACCAGTGGCTGCATGAGGTCAACATTTTAGGTGTAGCTCAATCTACCATGCAGTTTAGGTTACCACAACAGGTCTTGCTGTAGCAACTGGCCAAATGTATCTTATCCCCCTCTAGTGGCTAGCTCACATAGACTATAACAGCTTATTACTGCTGAGAGCTAATGGAGTTAGTTCTTTAAATCAAGTGCAGTAGAGTCCTGTGGTTTTGGTACTGACCGTTCCCAGCTCTGGAGATCCTATTTTCACACAAGTGTTTGTTATTTTGGGGAAATTCACCTAGATTTACTTTCCCAGCTGTGTCTCTATGGAATGAACACGAGTATCTTACAAACCTTACAGAATATAGTAGATACCAAATATCATCTATTCATCTTTATAGGAAGAGACTGGACTGCAGTGACTGACAAGTTCACTGCTAGATAGAATGCTAGCTCCCTCACCTCCCATCCACATCTTAGGCCCTCCAAACATCTAGAGAAGACATAGCTCATGGGGTCATGACTACACCTACCTCTCACACACCACACTCATGTGGTGCATAGGAGAAAATATTCTCCTTTTCTGCCCCTAAACATGGTCCCAGCATTTCACCTCTCCATTATTTCCCACCTTTCAGAGAGATGTACAAATTCCCCACCATATCTCCAATTGGGGTAAATGCAACACCTTTCCCCTAAATGACTTTGCTTTTGTATCCAAATTAGAAATATACATCTCTGGCTTCTTTTCTCTCAGTAAGCAAACCAGACACTTCCTAAATCTTACACCAGGCACTTAAGACCACCCTCAAAGGATAACACATTAGATGAACATCTAATCAATCTTCATATTATTTTCTTCTAATTATTTGTGCTTTCTGAGAGCAAATTCAAGGTCTTAGCAGTGCTGTTGAGTCAAATCCTATAAGGAGTTGAAAATCTACAATCCCCAAGGAAGTCAAAGGGCTATGGGTATGCTCAGTACCTATCCCCATTTAAGGGCCTGATTGAAAACCCATTGAAGTCAATTGGAAGACTCCCATTGACTTCAGTGAGTTTTGGATTAGGTCATAAAGGTCAGACCAGGGCTGGATTTCCAATTAGGCACAATAGGCACGTACCTAGGGGTGCTGGCATTCTAGGGAAAATGCCTTACCTTTCTAAAACTGTGTGCCACACGAAGGTCAGCTGTAGGCAGGGGGGTTCTGAAGATGCTGTGCCAAGGGGCTTGTAAGGTGTAAGTCCAGCCCTGGGCCAGACACTGCATCCACTGAAATCATTAGAAGTTTTGCCTTCAGTGGATAATGGATCTGACCCTAAATGTGGTGATGTGCCAGTGTTGCATTTAACTCATACACAGTTTCCTGTGGTTAATATGTAGTATAAACAGACAAGTAAATCTCTGCATTCATTGCAGTGGTAACAAGAAAACATGTTGTTATTCATTTATTCCTTCAGGATGTACTTACCCAGGAGCGCAGACATATTACTGGAAAATGTGTAATTAATAACAGGAGACTTCTCTATCATTTCCCAAAAGTCAGACATATTTCTGCCTGCAAAAATACATGCACAGAAATAAAAAAGGGGATTAAAGCAGTAGATTCTTGATTCAATCAGTGCTGTATGTGTAAAGGGTTATATTCTCAAAAGGGATAGGTTCTACATTTACCTATTCGGCCTGCCATCACGCAGATATAGATACAGTCTGAATCATTGCTCTGACTCACTGAAAGGAAAACAAATGTAGATCAAATGCTTTTTATTAGAGTACTTAAAAGGAGTTGAAATCAGGGAGTCAAAATCCACCTAGTAGGGGTGACTACTAGAGCTAGCTGAAAAATCTCAATCCAAATTTGGTTTTTGACAGAAAATTCGGTTTTCGACTACATGAAATTTTGCACAAAAGTGCCTGCTTTCCATAGAATATTTCCATTTTCTTCAAAGAAGCAAGATATTTCCATTCAAAAACTGAAATATTTTGATTTGAATATGCCTCTGTGGTGTCTTATAGGAATTGTAGTGTAGGTGCCTCATGTTCCCTTTCTCCTCTATGAGCTAGACTCCTCCTTGTGAACTACATCTCCCATGATGCACTATATGCAGGGACTCCCCATGATGTATTGCCTCTATTGTCCAAGAGAGGAGACGGTTGTGCCTCATGGAAGATATAGTCCAACCAGGGAGTCCACCTTATGAAGGACCATGGAAATATAAGACATCTGAACTACAGCTCCCATGAGGCATCGTGACAGCATTTCCAAATGAAAATATTTTTGTTTTCAGCTGAAGTATTTTGGTTTCTGGATGAAATTTTTCAGTATTCAAATGTCCTCCAAAAAATAGACCAAATTTGATTTTTTCCCCTTTTTTGTCCAAATTTTCCACAAAAAAAATCCCCATTTCAAACCAGCTCTAATAGCTACTCACCAGTATAAGAGGAGCCTAGGTTGGAAGAGTCCTTTCTTGAGTCTGGTTCACTCCCAAATGTACAGTTTTTTAAATAGCAAATAATAAATCAACAATTATTTTTAGAAAATTACCAAATAACTGTACCTCAGAATTTGAAGTATTCCTATTAATCTGTCTGTCAATATAGTTAGGAAATTCTGCAATTTTAAGGTAATATTATTTAAGGTTTGATTATGCAGTCCTTAGTCAAGTTGATGTGCAGTAGCTCAGCTGAGCAGTCTCTTTAAAGTCAGTGGGATTCCTTGTGGAGTAAATTGCTACCGGATGTAAGGAAAGGTGTCAGAATCTGACTCTGAGTTATATAAGGCAATTCACAGGATTTTAAGGGTAACAACCAAATCAAATAATTTTCAAAGGGATATTTAGCCTCTAAAAATATTCAGGAAAAGTTAGTCCCACATTTTGGGCCAGATTCTGATACATATACTCAAGTTGAATAGTACCTTACACCAGGAGTAGTAATAGTAATAATAATAATAAATAATATCCAGTGCTTATAATCAGTAGATCTCAACGCACCTGTAAAGGCATATCAAAGCACCAGTCTACCGGTGGGGAAACTGAGGCACACAGAGATGAAGTGACTAGCTGAAGATCACCCAGCAGGTCAGTGGCGGAGCTGGGACTAGAAGCAATGTCTTTGGAGTCTCAGTCCAGCGCTCTATGCACTAGGCAACATTGCTATCCCCTGTCCCCCTGAAGTCAATAAGTACTAGTGGAGGAAGTTTGAAGGACTATTTGTGGAATGTGATACTAAAGTTGACTAAGGGAACCTTAATCCAGCCCTAAATTAATCCCTTTACATTTTTGGTCATATGTTACAAAGACTCCGACAATAATTCATTACATTATGAAACAGAGTTTTAATAAAAATATTTTCTCAAGGTGATTTGGTTTACAGTTGCAGCCCCTATTCTGGTGAGGTCAATACTGCTGATGAAGCAGTGGGGATAGCTACCACCTTAGTGTTTATAACATGTCCTTTTTATGTTCCAGGAGGGAACAGGACAATGATAAAAAGAAATGCACACCTGAGACGATCGAGGTGGATTTGAAAATTTCTGTGAGGTAACTGGTGGAGTTTCCAATAATATCAACAAGTAAAGCTGTAAAATCTAGAAGACAAAACAGAGCAGGTTTACAATCCAAGGCCCCAATCCACTAGTCCATCCCTGTTCAGCAAAGCACTTACGTATGTGCTTCACTTTTAGGCACGTGCTTTGCCTTTGATTTCAGTGGTAATTAAGAATGGGCCTAAAGTTACGTATGGGCTTAAGCGCTTTGCTGAATAGGGATGGATTTAACTACAAACTTAAATACTTTGCTGAACTTGGACTCAAATGCTTATCAGTAGGAATGCTCTGAAGTATAAAAGAGAGATTAAATACTGCATACAGGGGAATGTTCCCTTATCTGTACATGGCCTATGTGCCACTGGAATCCCACTTAGGTGCTACAAAACTCCCAAAATAAGACTTACGTGACGCAGAGGCCTTCACTGGCCCTCTACACTGAAGAGAAAATCACATTGAGAGCCAACACTGTAGTATCAATTTTAGCAGCTTTTCAGTACATGGCATTTATATTACAGTGAACTTGTGTAACTTGGCTTAGGAAATCAGCGAGAGATAGGAAATACAGGCCACAAATGTAAGCTTAGCCCCCGTGGCCTTTAATTTGTAATATTCCCTTTCCCCAAACTTCTGTTTTTTTATCATCCAAACCTTTTATTACTTTGCTTGCAAACTCATAGACGCAGTTTTGTTTTGTGTTTGTACCATGCCTAGCACAATGTGCCCCTGGCCCATGAGGGGTGCCCTGATGGGCTATCACAATACAAATAATAAATAAATAATAATTATTATGGTAGTGCCCAGAGTTCCCACGTGGTGCACAGGGATCCCGTTGTGCTAGGTGCTGCACACGCATATGTACAGATGTGGGTCCTAGCCCCCAAAAGTAGAAGAAATAACCAGGATTGTGGAATATCCTTTTCATGTCACAGCTGGGACACTGTACCGGCCCAGAGCCGTGCTCAGGTTTGTGCAAGAACAAGGGGCACGGAAGCGCCAAATGACTCTGTAAAACAGCTGGATGCCAAGTCACCAGTGCTGGGAAATGGCCAGGTGCACAAAATGGGGAAAAAGTGGCCTCATACCCATTCTGGAATTTGAACAGTGCTCAGAGGAAGTGGGGGGAATTTGTGCAATGGAGCTTCTCACCCCACTAAACTGCCCTATATAGACCCCAGTCCTCTTTTGCTCCTTCCCCACCTCTGGGCTTAGAGGGGTTACTGCAGGCTTGGCCTGGAGGAACCCCTGGATATCTCTAGGGAACTGAGAGCAACTAGAGAAGCTAAATTGTACTATAAAATTGAACCCACAGATATCAGATATTGCTGGGAGGCTCTAGAGGGGCTGTCTTTCCCTCTTTCCCCTTGCATTCCCTATGAAGAAATGCAGGTTTTTTTCCCCAGTGGCAACTCATCTTGCCTGCTTGGCTGACAGCTCCTTTCCAGGGCTGCCAGCAGGGAGCGGTCTTCTGGTGCTCAGTTCACTGAGTCTGTCCAGTGCTTCAAAGTGGCCACTTACCATGGCTTTTGACTTCAATGTGACTACAGCACTCTCATGAAGAAAGTTTCAGGACTGGGGCTGAGAACCTACAGCTCAAATGGAAACAATTTGGCTTAAACACACTCAAACGCCAGCCCACTCTCAGTCAGACTGCTTTTACACCCACCTGTTAAGTCATTTGTCATGTTGTTTAAACAGTAGCAATACCTCATAGGGAACTTGCTGGGGTCAACATTTTTCAGGTTAGAAACTGCAAAGAGGGACAGTGGAAACTGAAATCTTGATGGATTCACCTTCTACAAAAATGCATTTGAGAGGAGAATAAAATGGTACGGTACCCACTGTTATAAATGGCGACCGAAACTTTGTGGAAGGCAAATGAGCTGTAAGAGGTAATGCTCAGCAGAGAGAAGAATTTTTTAGTTCCTGCAGAAAAATGTGCAAATCTGTTAATGACTTCAATGGGTTATTTATTTATAACCCAACTATTGAGTCTGATATAACAGTGACATGATTTTATTTCTAAGTCACACCATACAATGACTGTAGGCAGATGCATTTGAATTTTGTTTTCATTGTGATCTAGCAGAAATAATTTTAAATCACCATTTTTAATTTTAAGCAAACAAAACTAGAGAGGCCAGTACAAAAATAGATGGGGAGAGGAGAGGAGGAAAGAAAGAGCGATACAACAAATGTGAATCAAAGAGATCATTCTAAAGACACCTTGTTAATAATTACACACACACACACACACACACACACCATGCTACAGGAACTTGTCCAAATACAGCAGTATACCATAGTGTATTTTTACAGCTTTGTCCCCTAACTCCTTTAGCTCCATATTTCAACTTATGTGGAGCTGACGGTCCACGACATGCTTCACATCCTTTTGTAGCACAACCATGTTACCTTTGAGAGCTGTATTTAACATTCCGTTCACTAGTTCAGTCAGGTTAATCGCAGCCAGATCAACAGATTTGGCAGGCAGCTCTGAAAAAGAAGCAGCATTTCTGAACGTCAGACATTTGACAGGGCTAGGAACCTATCAATGTGCTGTGTATATATTCCTCTAAATGACTTTGATAAAGTGATTCAGTGAGATGCTGTCATCTGTGGGAAAATGAAAACATCAGATTGCTTATTAGGGCTAGAAAACAATGTGTGGTGACTCTGAGAAGCTAAATATACCATGAGTGCAATGCAATTGCTGATACTAGAATCAGGTGAGAACGGGAGGGGCAGTGCTATGTCAAAAGGAAGACAGGGCACTGTATATGCATTCACTAATTAAAAGGCACTTTTGACAGTGTTCCTCAGTGCTCTGCTGTGGATGCCAGGTTATTCAACAAAATCCTAGGATGTTGGAGTCCATTAACAGGCAACACACATTTTCATTAAAGTGGCATTGAAGCAGGTGCCCCTTTATAAACCACACTCATCTGGAAGAAATTTTCTGTTAAATTTCCACCTGTGAATGTTGCACAGAATTGGAATGAAGATTCAGCTATTTTAATGAGGTGCCCTGACTGGCCAAGGAGAATAACCTAACTAGAGCTGGCCAAATTTTTTTAATTTGAGAAAATTTTCTGATCAAAAATTGCTAGGGCTTTTTTCTAACTGACAATTTTGTAGAAAATGTTTTGCTTAGTTCAGACAAGACCATTAAAAAACCAAGGGAAAGGGCAGAGGTGGAGGGTGTGGGATTGGGGCGGGGGCATGGATGAAAAACCCAAGCCAGAAAAAAAATCAGTGTTGGGGGGAAAAAAATTTCTATGACAATGTCTTGCCCATTTTTGACCAGCTCTGAACCAAACATGTTCCAAACTTGGGTATTTAGAACAACAGGAAAGCTGCAGTACATACAATGCAGCAACTAGGAGCGAGGAAGAGACATAGAAGCCACACCATATGCTATAGAAATCAAACCACTCCTCCTCCTCCTCCTCGATAAGATAAGATAAGGTTAGCAGGACGGTTTCTGGAACATAAATGGGATTGTAACCTATGGTCAGGAGGGTGCCAGCTGCTGGAAGCGGTGTCCGGTTTGGGTACATGTTAGGATGAGAATGAGAGAGTCTGAGGGAACCAACAGTTGGGAGGAGGGAGTGAGCAACATCAGGGGAAGGCTCATGGAAAGACGGATATCATAGGAAGCAGCAGAAGAGTGGTCTTCAGGTTGCATGATAACCAGGGAAATGGCTGCTGAGTCACTATCCAGGCTTTCAGGGGAGTGAGGTGTCAGGAATGGGGTGTGGTTGTTTCTAGCAGGGTAGCAGTAGGGAAAAGTGGCTGTGGAAGGGTTTGCCTGGCTGCAGTTCCTGAGTGGAAATTACTGAACAGGAGTTCACTCACCAAGTAGCGCCCATTGGGCCAGCTACTGTACTTCTGACTCAGACTTAACCCCACACAATCAGAGTAACTTCTGAAGCCATGTGCCAGGCCTTACCTGCAGTAGCCAGCACTGCCATGTTCTTCTCCTTCTTATTTTCTCCTTTTATGCCTGCAGCTGTAAAATGGAGAAAGTGAAATCTGAGAAATGACTTTCCCACTCAAATGACCAACCAGGAATCTCAAGGGGTTTCTCTGTTCCTCTAGAGTGTTATGGCTGTGAAATGGTTGGACAATAGTACTGCGAGCTAGTCCATCATGCAGAGCCACAAGTTACTTCTAACAGCAGCAGAGCGTATACATGCTCTAAAAGGCAGATCCCGCTAAGCCAATGCTGTTACAGACTCATCAATCTATAGATGGTCTAGGTGCACTAGAGGGGGACAAAGCACCACACAAAGTGGGCATGGGCTACACTGGCAGGCTCAAGAAGATGGTTCATTGTGAATCCCACCAATTGCTGGCTTCTCTAGTATGTTAATTAGTTCTAACACCTCTGTGACACAGAGGCTCTGAGGCAAAAAGTCTCATTCTTTGCAAACACCTCTCCTCAGACCTGAAAATGCACTATACCAAACACATATCTTACACACATCTATTTATCCATAAAGAAAAATATATAACATATCTACAGAGAGCTCATAACTTGTCAAGATTCACAGTCATTTTGAGATGCCTGCATGGGTAATATTTAAGGAATAATGTATTTATACCGAAATAATGCTTTATGGACTTGGGGTAAAACATAGTCACTGGAGCCAATATGTCTCAGTGATGGCCCATTCAGAAAGGTGGGACTTGTCACCCCGTCCTATCTAGCAGGTGATGCCACAGAATTTCAGCCAGTAATAGCATTTTAACTACCTAAGGAAGTGGAGAATCAGGCACCCTGGCCTCAGCCTGTATTTTGTATCGCCCTTAGGTGACATGTCCTTTTGGCTTTGAGACTCGTGGATGGGAAAAACATTTTAGATGTTCCCGGGGCAATATCAAAGTGCATGTGCTGGGGAAATTACTTTATCATGTATCAAAATAAATTGCAGGTGAAAGTGATGTTTCAGAAACACTTCACACTTACCCAAGTTCCATAAGAGAAGGAGACATAGAAATCCTGTACTCAATTTAACAGGCACATGCTGATGGAACCATGGCATTTTGGAAACCTACTTCCAGTCGCTTCAACTGTTTTAGGAGAAAGAAACAAGATTTTGGTGAGCCTACGTGGATCCAGTGCATTTGTTAGTTTCAATGTTTCCAACTTTTGCAATATTTTGTGTTGTTCTTAATCTCCAGATCCTAGAATCACGTGAGAATCTCGGCTTTTACTTGAAAAGAAAACAAAACAAACTAAGTTTCTCACCCTTGTGATTGCAGAGAAAGCTAAGAAAATGTGACCTGAAAGCTAAAAATCTCAGAAGGCAAAAACAAAAACCCAAATCAAAACAAAACAAAACAAAAACCATGAACAAAATAAACCAAAAATCTAGAATTTCTTATTTGTGATTTTTTTATTCAGCCTCATGACATTTTGGGCGCTGACTCAAGGTTTTTGAATGATTGGGACTGTCAATACTGCAGTTTACAGATGTTTCAAAGACTCATACTTAGAGCTGGTTGGGGAAAAGAGAAAGAAGTTCTGACAACTTTTCTTTTAATTTATCCCCTGCCTGTTTTTTCAGTATCAGAAAATGTCAGCCAGCTCCATCGTTGGCTGAAACTCTGGGGGGAAGATTTCATGAAAATGCAGTCAAAAGTTTTTCTAATTTAGTTTTCAATGGCAACCTTCTCCGTGCTTGATAGTTAATGGTAAGAATATATATTGAACTCTTCTTAGCCTCAGGATAATACTGTTTGATTACAAATTATTACCATTTCTATTAACCCAGTCATCCTGATATTTAAATTGTTAGAAACTAAAATAAATTCTGAAAATAGTTGAAGTAAAAATAGTACTAAGGGATTCCATTTTTAGTGTGTCCATGTTACATTTACTCCTCTTACAAGTGAAAGATGTTTCTCCTAACTGCTAGCCTTGCAAACTCAAACTGGGATCTGAGAGTCAAGCTGAATTCTTTCTAGCTAATGAATCATTACCATTAATAAATAACAATAATAATGCCTAGCTCTTATATAGCACATTTTTGTCAATCTCAAAGCTTTTTACTGAGGATGTCAGAATTATCCTCATTTAACAGATGGAGAAACTGATGCACAGGGAGATGAAATGACTTGCCTAAGTTCATTCAGCTGGCCAATGGCAGAAACAGAAATAGAATCTAGTCTCCTAAGTTTTAGTCCAATATTCTATCATCCAGACCACCCTGCCCCACCACCTGTCCAAGCCTATTGCCTTTTGGGCACAGGTTTAGCTGAAGGCAGACAGTAAGGTAATGGGGTTGGCCAGGTGACCCTGCCCTTGGAACTTAGTTAACAACTCTATTGATGAAGCATGAGACAGCCAATAACAGTTTACTGTCCCATTGTTTTATAGCGTCTGTAGAATTGACAGGAGTGAAGAAGAGTGAAACCCACTGAAGTCAGCAGATCTGACTGAGTACAAACAGGGAGCAGATGTGCTGAGTAGGGAGGTCTAAGAAACTGTACTTCATCATCATCTGGTCATTTTTGTTGGGCAGTTATGTATGGTAAGCCAAATGGGTTTTTTAAGGCACTTGTCTATGCTGAGAGTGGTACCGAGCTGCTCCACCCCAAATCAGTCTTTTTGGGAGGGTCAGAGGGATGGGAAGAGAGATGCGTTAGCAAGAGTTATGCTAAATTTTAAATGTTAAGAGGCTTTGTTTAGCCACAGTGGGCAAAAAGTTGCTTTAATCTGCAAATATGTTATATAATTATATTAAGAATGGCCCTAGTCACATGATTAAAATTAAGCACATGGTTAAGTGTTTTTCTGAATCAGGGTCTAAAACAGCATAAGTAGCCTTGATCCACTGTGAAAGAGAACCGATGGAAAAAGACCAGAATTTGCCAGCCAGATATCACTGCAGGAAAGGTAAGTGAGAGCACAAAGCATGCTTTGGGACGCATGTCCCTACTGCAGCCTGTGGACAGCATGTGCATAAAGCAAGCATCAGTGACACACAAGTTTCCTTTTTGTTTCTTTGCTCTCTTCCGCTCCTAAGAGGATTTGACAAATTTGTTTAAAAAGCAAAAATAATTTGAACACAAATATTTAAGCCAAACTCCCTCATTCCGTTGGCTCAAGGATGTTTCCTGTTTTATTTCTTTCTGTTGTGTGCGTTGAGTGAATGCCTGAGGCAGGCTCACTGTGGTAAGAGGAGACCAAATTCCCTTTACATGCTCAATCTGTCTCCCAAATAAACAAACATGAAACAAAATTAACTGCTTCGATATGACAGAGGGGAAAAGACCTCTGGGGACTGTAACAGCTAAAAACTCACTACTTCACCCACACAACATAGCTTGGGAGTCTTGTGGCTCAGGGAGGGAGTCTCCCTCACTAGGCTGCCTGGTTTCCAGGGGCACATGAGCTCTTTAGAATGGCGTGCAACTTGTTTCTCACAAATTTATTTGAGCACAAGCTTTCGTGAGCTACCGCTCACTTCATCAGATGCATGCGGTGGAAAATACAGCAGGGAGATTTTATATACACAGAGAACATGAAACAATGGGTGTTACACACTATAAGGAGAGTGATCAGGTAAGGTGAGCTATTACCAGCAGGAGAGAAGAAAAACCTTTTGTAGTGATAATCAAGGTGGGCCATTTCCAGCAATTGACAAGAACATGTGAGGAACAGTAGTGGGGGAAAATAAACATGGGGAAATAGTTTTACTTTCAAATGCTGGAAATGGCCCACCTTGATTATCATACAAAAGGTTTTTTTTCTCTCTCCTGCTGGTAATAGCTTACCTTACCTGATCACTCTGGTTACAGTGTGTATGGTAACACCCATTGTTTCATGTTCTCTGTGTATATAAAATCTCCCCACTGTATTTTCCACTGAAGGCATCCGATGAAGTGAGCTGTAGCTCACGAAAGCTTATGCTCAAATAAATTGGTTAGTCTCTAAGGTGCCACAAGTACTCCTTTTCTTTTTGCGGATACAGACTAACACGGCTGCTACTCTGAAACTTGTTTCTCACGGTGCACCCAGCCCGCTCTGTGAGCCGGTTTGAGTGAGGGACCCATGGTTTAGCCCCACTGGGGATGAATTGAGGGTGCATGGAACAACAGTTGCTGCTTTCTCCTTCCAGCTCAGGACCTACAATTGTTATTGGGCCTGGCACAAGCAGCACAAGATGTGGAGGTTCCCAATATTCCCAACCCCCAAAATTCAGAATCCTGAGTTAGATGCACCAAAATCACAAGATTGGCCCCAACATCATGAGATTTAAAAAAACACCACCACAGAATATCTCATGATTTTTGGTCAGCCTTCTGAGTTTTGAACTCCCCTTCTCCCTCCGCCTCATCTGCAGGACAGTTACAATGCTGTCACCTCTCCCAAATGTACAGTAAGGTGATTCTGGCCCTGTTGCAGGAGCTCTCACTGGGGGAAACAACTAAGATCAAATTACATAGATTTGTATGAAATGATGCCAGATGGTTGCCCACTGCCCCGTCTCCAGGGGAAGAGCACCCAGGCAGAGCTGCTGCGTGTGGGACTCTGCACCCACCCTCAGGACCTGCACCCAACCATTCTCACAGGAGGGAAGGGGACAAGAAAGAGCCCCCCAGCTCAGGGTGGCTTGACCCCCTCCTTCCTCCTCCTTTCCTGTGAAAAACAAGGCAGTCTTCCGCCTCCTGCTCCCCCCTCACCTCTTCATCCCTCCAGCGCCAGGCATGGGAAAGGGGAGGAGAGGGGAGTGATGGACCCCAGAGCTGAAAGAGGAGCAGAGGTGGGGGCTGAGGGTAGATGTGGGGCTGAGGGGTGGGCAGAATTGATTGCCGAGCTGTGGGATGGGCAGTTGTGTGGCAGGCGGGGCACAGAATTAATTAGAAATGTGGGGTATGGGGAGAAGCTGGAATCAAACAAACAAAAGGAAGGACTTAGAATCATAGAATATCAGGGTTGGAAGGGACCCCAGAAGGTCATCTAGTCCAACCCCCTGCTCGAAGCAGGAGGGGGTCAAGCAGGACTTCTTCACACAATGCACAGTTAACTTGTGGAACTCATGCTGGGGGATGTTGTGAAGGCCAAAACTATAATGGCGTTCAAAAAAAGAACTAGATAAATTCATGGAGGATAAATCCATCAATGGCTATATGCCAAGATGGTGAGGGATGCAACCTCATTCTCTGGGTAGCCCTATCCTCTGATTGCTTGAAGCTGGGAGTGGATGACAGGGGTTGGATCACTTGATGACTGCTTGTTCTGTTCATTCCCTTTAAAGCACCTGGCATTGGCCACTGTCAGAAGACAGGATACTGGGCTAGATGGACCACTGGGCTGACCCAGTATGACCATTCTTATGTTCCCCACCAACAGGTCAGAGCCAGAATAATGTTACTCAGTACATTCAGGTGTGTTGGCAACATTAATTTTCTCACACGCACACTGGGGATGGGCAAGGGGAGTTCAAAAATGTAAAGACAAACCAAAAAAAAATATATATAGTCTTTAAAATGAAATCTCATGATTTGGGAAGACATCCAATGATTTTTTATCTTTTGTTGATCGGAACTTTGGCTAGCTCTCATCCACCATAATTATTGCTTATGCTAGCTATACTGTATGCTTTTTTAAATGGGAACCATATCTTGGGCATGTGGGAGAGAGGATCTTATACTAAAGTATGTTTTTAACCAACAGTTATCTGTCTAAGATCTTTTCTTGGCACATCCGTACATCTCTGAGAACAGGAGGCTTCATCTGGCACACAGCAAAGCACAAGTAAGAGTAAATGGGAAATTTTGCCGGTGTAAGAACTGCATTATCAGAGACTGCAACAGTATCAGCAGGTGGGGCATAACATTGTGTTTGTGGAGGGAGGGTCTATAAAAATGATGATTTCCCACCCATTATTCCATCATGGAAAGGTAAACCATTATTTAAATATACTACACTCAGAATCCTGAGAACTTCCCCTCATCAACATTTGGTCCTCAAATCCCTTTAACACATGGCTACCCCTCTGATATAGAGCCACAAGAATGATTCAAGTTCTGGAAAAACTTGATTACAATGAGAAATTTGAGAAGCTCAATCTATTTAGCTTAACAAAAAGAAGGATAAGAGTTGACTTGATCGTGGGGTGAAATCCTGGATCCATGGAAGTCAATGGGAGTTTTCGCAAAAAGAAAAGGAGTACTTGTGGCACCTTAGAGACTAACCAATTTATTTGAGCATAAGCTTTCGTGAGCTACAGCTCACTTCATCGGATTCATATGAAGTGAGCTGTAGTTCACGAAAGCTTATGCTCAAATAAATTGGTTATTCTCTAACATGCCACAAGTACTCCTTTTCTTTTTGCAAATACAGACTAACACGGCTGTTACTCTGAAACCTGTCATTATGCAATGTGAGTTTTGCTATTGACTACCATAAGACCTGAATTTCACCCAGGATCTATGAGTACCTGCATAAGGAGATATATCTGAAACTAGAGGATTCTTTAATATAGCTGGTCGGATAGGAAAATTTCCACAGGAAATTCTGATATCTGTTTTTGTTCTGAAATTCCACAAAATGAGAATTCCAAACAATTTTGATTCAGAACTCTCAGAATGTTTTGTTTTGTCAATATTCAGTTGTTTCGCTACACTACTGTTGACATGTTTCATTTTGATAAGATACAGATGTTTTGCTAATATCAAAACATTCTAATATAAAATATTAAAATATAAAAGTTGAATCAAAACAATAAAGTTGGAACAAACTGTTTTTACCTTATTGAAATTAAACATTTTGACATTATTGAAATGAAATGTTTTGACATCAGAAAAATGAGAAAATAGAAATGATCTTGCCTGTCTAAAATGTTGTTGAAACGGATACATTCATGCAAAATGTTTAGGGTTTGATGAAACTGCATTTTCTGATGATAAACTGGTTTTTTGACCAGATCTACTCTTTAATCTAGCAGACAGCAACATAACAAAATCCAATGGCTGGAAGGTGAAGCTAAACAAATTCAGACTGGAAATAAGGAATATATTTTTAACGGTGAGAGGAACTGACCATTGAACAGCATACCAAAGGATGTGGTGAAGTCTGTACCACCTCAAATCAAGTTTGGATGTCTGACTAAAAGACATACGGTAGCTCAGCCACACGCGATGACCTGTCTTATACAGCAGGTCAGCTGAGAGGAGTCTAATGATTTCCTTCCGGCTTTAAAAATCTATAAATTTATGAAATTTAAGGTCCAGTCCTGCTCTTATTAGAAACAATGCACATCTGACTATTGACCTCAATGATAACCATTTTTTTGTCCTACAGTTATTTAGATATATAGGGTCAGAGGCAGATTAAGGTTTCCTGGGGCCCTAGGCCAGAGCAAGTGGGGGGTCCCTTTCTGCCCCTTCCTCAGGGCCCAGCCCATTTCACTTAGGGTCCCCTCCTTCCTGCCCACTGCAGCCTTGCAATCCCTTTTGCTCCTTTCTGCACCCCCACTGGGGCCCCAAGACCAGAGAAGCTCTCTCACTGCACGACTGCCCCAGAGCCGCAGCAGGGAATGAGAGCTCCTCCAGTCCTGGGGCTGCAGCAGGGGTCCAGGTGCTGGGGCTTCCATTGTCACCCCCCGTGCTTCTGAGGGGAACCAGGGTTGGGGTACTAGGGCTTCTCCCGCCTTGCCTGCCTGGTGCTTCTACTGGAGAGCGGGTTGGGCGCAGGGCCTTGCCCTGCCACCCCGCAGCTTCTGCCGCAGATGGGATCAGTGGCCCTTGTGGGGGCTGCTGATGGGGGCTTCCCCTGCCCAGTGCTGCCACTGCGGAGTAGGGGTGAGGATCCAGGCTTCCGCCACTGGTGGCGGATATTTTCTAGGGGGCGCCCAGTTGGCCGGGGCCCCTGGGCACGGGCCCCGTTGACCCAGTTTCAAATCCACCACTATATAGGGTCCAATTCAGCAAAACTTTTAAGCATGTCTGTAAGTGCTTTGTTGAATTGAGGCCTCAGAGTTTTGCTGAGTAATTAGCCTACACCAGGGGTTCTCAGCATTTTTCTCTCTGAGCCCCCGCCCTCCCCACCTGCACCACAACAACTGTTTTTCAGTAGATCAAAAGCCAGGGCCAGCATTAGGGGGTAGCAAGCAGAGCAATTGGCCAGGGCCCTGTGCCACAGGGGGCCCCCGCAAAGCTGAGTTGCTCCAGCTATGGCTTCAGTCCCAGGCAATGGGGCTCAGGATTCGGCTGTCAGCCCTGGGTTCCAGTAAGTCTAATGCTGGCCCTGCTCTCTGATTTATTTTGAAACCTCTCTGAAACCTGCTCCCGGCCCCTCAGGGGACCCTGACCCCTGGTTGAGAACCACTGGCCTACACCTCAATTTGTTATTTTGGGAGGATAAAAGAATCACAGAAATTATTGATGTTTGTAATTGCATTTCTCAGAATGACAAGGTTTGCCAGCATAGCTGTCATTCATTCTTTTGGTTCAACAAATGTTCCCAGATAAAAAGGGGAGTTCATCATGTATCCAGGTACTTTCCTAGCCAAGTTTCAGATTCTTTGACAGTTTGTTTAAAACTGATAGAGAGCTCAACAGTGCAGCAGAACAGGGGAGGAAGGGAGGGAGGGAGAGAGAGACCTACAATGTGTGCAATATTGCATGATATAACAGAGACTGGAGAAAGCAAAGCTTGCAGTGGGCAAAGCAGAGGTGGGAGATAGAGGAACATAAAAATTGCCATACTGGAAAAATTAGGAGAGAGATGTAAAAGGGAATGGGAAAAGTAGCCAATATAACAGAACAAGAATGAAGTACAATGATTTGAATGCTAAAATACTGTGGCTCTGGAGAGAGACCTACATCTGTCCCTAAATGCTCCCTATAGAATGGTCTGAGTACTTCTGTTTAACTCTATCCAGTGTATTAAAATATTCAGATTTTTAAATCAAACATTGTCATTCTGCATTAGAAACTCCCACCTGATATTATACCATAGCTATTGTAGCATGATGAAAACATGATATGGAAAGATAAATTCTCATAAAATAAATCTTGAAATACTGCTGGGGAAGAGAGATGTAACCACATCAAAGAAGTGAAAGCAGCTTTGAAGTAGGATTAATATACATTACTAAAGGTTTGATCATGAACTGACTTTATGTTGGTACAAGTTTTGCCTGAGGAAAGAATGCAGGATTTAGCTGTAGAAGACAAATGCCCAGCTCATTTAACTATAATGGAAACATCCTTGTTATAATTTTTAATGGTATCTTTCCATTTTTATTGATACCAATGTAAGCTTTGCAATGAGTGAAATGCACAATCGGGCTAAAAATATACAACTTTTTCACTGTCAAAACTAAAAATTGCCAATGATCGTCATTTGACAATGTCTTTTAGATTGATAAGACACTCAGTACTAAAGAGATGGGCATGACATAAAACACACAGATAGACCCTGCAAGCTTTGTTCCTGTGACCATTTTCCTCCCTAATATTTCTCACATGTAGGTTGACAGTCAAGCTCCTAGCCACAAATACTGACACCAATCAATCTGATATGATAATTCAGCTAATTATTTATTTCAAATTAAATTTTACTGTGTTTTCATAGCTTGAACCAGGTAACCGACGCACTTAAATAACACGTAAGCTTTTAATCCCATCCAATGTTTCTAAAACCCAGATACAGCAAAAATGGTTTTGGTGTGGATAACAACCTCAGCAGTTTGGGTTACACTTATGTGACCCTAGAGATTCAGGACTAAGTACCTCTTCATTAGTCTCACCAAACAAAGATCTCAAGGTAACTAACTTATTAGCTATGCTTCATTTTCACCCACTTTAATGTGACAAGTAACCATGCAGGTTGAAATGTTCTCTTTTTTCCAACACAAAAGGAGTCCAATCAGATATCAACTGTTTTCTCCCCTTATCTATAGTGCTAAACAGAGCAGAACAGAAGTTAAGAGGCTGAAGGAGAGAAAAGGGAAAGACCTTGCATACTAATTTCTCTATCTCTGTTCAGTTCCAAGATTTAAAGGTCACCCTTTCAGGTTTAAAACAAACTTTGAAAAACAGGTCTAAATAAATCTTCTCTGGCTAATATGAAAAAAGAAGTTCGTTCTTGACTGAATTTCTATCATCACCTGATTTGTATTAGATCAAAAGTTTACACTTTCTACAATAAGTCTGAATTTAAGAAATCATATGTTATAAAAACTCTCTCCTAACACTCTTCATTCTTCAGCCTCAATGATTATTAACTGCACAGATTGAAAAAGATTATTTTAGGTACCTCTCCATAGCAGCACCATTTAAAACTATTCACAATGTGAATATCTAGTAATCTTTTAATACTGACTTACCTGGCTTCTCCTGATATGACGATTAACTTCAGAGAGTTTAAATAGACAGGAGGTTATCACACTGTTTTAATAAAGTCTTAGTGAAAGATAATAGTCTGCGAGTGGACAGGCTTGATAAAATTGCCTTAAAAAAATCTTGTGAAAATGGTATTATAATCCCAAAGGCAACTAGGCTAAATGAAATAGGATCATGTACAAGCAAAGTGCCTGTGGTATGTCCTGAACTGAATCCCTAAATGGAATGACTTTGCAGCAGTCCAGGTCAGGATGTGAAACCACTTTGGGCAGTAATTACTTACACTGAGAAATAGAACTGAAAGGATGTTTTTCCCCTTTAAAGGGACAGAGCCTTCCAATGTAATTAGGCCATTTTTGATGCTGCCGGTTAGTCATTCTGGACAATGGATACTATGGATAGGTCTGAAGAGAGTGGTGTAGGAAAGCTGAAATACAGCTCAACTACAGTCAACTAGATGAGACTATAGTGGTGACATGAAGTAATAATGATGACACTGAGTGATGTGTCACTACTCTACCCACTGCATCCAAAGCATCATAGGAGGAAATAAGAAGCTCAAAGAAAGGTTCCATAACCACCTCAGTCCATGGAACTCAAGGTGCTCTACAGGCATTAATGAATTAAGCCCCAAAGCAGCCCTGTGCAGTAGGGAAGTATCATGACCCCCATTATACAGAAGAGGAAAATAATGAGTAGCAAGTTAGATCCTGGCTCTACTGAAGTTAACAAGAGTTTTGTCATCCACTTCTATGGTGCCAGGATTTCACCCAGCGAGTTTAAGATCCAAAGTTCCAAAAGTGGCCTGTGATTTTGAATGCCTTCTTTTTTGGGGTGCCCAACCTAAGTCCTGATTTTCAGAGGTCTCACCCAAAACTTAAGACACCCAACATTATAGGCTATATTTGGAAATCAGAACGTACAGGGATTGATCCAAACTCACTGAAGTCCATGCAAAGACTTTGACTTCCCTGGGCTTTAGATCAGGCCCTAAGAGACCTGCACAAGGTCATGAAGGCATTTATTTACCATTTGCAGCAAATCTCTCTTTTTGATTACTTTGTCCTCATAGTGTATCCCAATGATGTGAGCTGGAGGAATGTTACGATGTTACCCAATTAATGCAGCAAAATACTGGCACTGGGCATAACACTTTGACCTGCTAATGTATGACATTTGGGAAAGTCAAAAAGCCATGCTTTGCTGGATTGGAGGAAAAACAGTTGCGCCAAATGGGACTGTCCGCTCTTCAGGCACTCCTGGTTCACTGTGCCCAGTGCTCTTTGCCAGTTTTGTTGGAATTCTTCTGCATGTGTGCATCTAAGCACACCTGTAGAAAGATCAATCTATTCAGCTTTATGTCTGCCCACCCCATAGCGAATACATCTCACGTTGGGTGGTTGTCTCATCAGTCACAATAGGAAATAAAAGAAAAGGAGGACTTGTGGCACCTTAGAGACTAACCAATTTATTTGAGCATGAGCTTTCGTGAGCTACAGCTCACTTCATCGGATGCATACTGTGGAAAGTGTAGAAGATCTTTTTATACACACAAAGCATGAAAAAATACCTCCCCCCACCCCACTCTCCTGCTGGTAATAGCTTATCTAAAGTGATCACTCTCCTTACAATGTGTATGATAATCAAGGTGGGCCATTTCCAGCACAAATCCTGGGTTTAACAAGAACGTCTGGGGGGGGGGTGGTAGGAAAAAAGAAGGGGAAATGATGGGCTCAGCCTATAAAGTTTGGATGTAAATCTGTATCCAGATCCAAAGTTTGGAGATATTCAGACATTGCATTTGGCAAGGCCAGTTACAGAGCTAGGGGACAGTTGCCGGGCTCCAATTCAATCTGGACTTGTATACTAACTTCACTAAGGTCCACAGGTGTTCAGACCTAGGGCACTATTTCAACCCCCACCTTGTGCATTTGTTACTGGCTATCATGTTGACACAAAACATCAGGGAAGTGATCTTTTCCCAGAGGAGCTATGGGTGCTGAATAAGCAGGGCTCTGTCTGTGCGCACATGCTCCCCCCTCCGCCGCCCCCGTCCATCTGTCTGTCCTCCTTGTGGTTAGATTACTAGCCTGGGAATTGGAAGACCCAGATTTAAATCCCTGCTCTGCCTGATTCAGGGTGATTTCGGATGAAAAACTCTGCTCTGAGTCAGGTACAGAGGAGTTGAATCTGGATCTCCCACATTCCAGGGTTATAGAGTTTGTTATGAGTCTCGCTCTCTCAGACATTACAGCCCCAGCAAAGCAGCACATTTGGGTGAAATCTCATTTTGGCAACAATGTGCCAACCAGCTCTATGTGGCAGTCACTTCCATAATAAAAGACAGCTTTTGTGAATTGTGATTGAATGCAGCAGCCTGAGTAACTTGGAAACACCTTTTGTTAAAAGGATCTGCCTTAGCCATACACAGTTTTTATTGCCATTGACCCTGGCTCAATATCGCATCAACCAGATTGGGATGAAAGTGTCCAGTATAATGACAGGCAATAACAGCCATACCTGAGAAAATGTGTTTTCTGGGAGCAATTCCAAATTGTTTGATGTTTGGAAGTGAAGATAATTTGACTTTCAGCAGGATTTACATCATACAGCATTTCATCTTTGAACTTTGCAATTTTAACTCTGCCCTGCTGTGGAGTGATCTCGGCTAATCATTGCAACACGGTATTGTTCTGCGACAGCTTTGACACAGGAAGCATTATTAGGGACAATGCTGACTTCTCACTCAAAACACTATCCCGGTGAATTGTGCAGTGCTTTCTCAGGGGTATAGTCTTTAGGCTTATTTCTGCCTAATGAGGAACAAAACAATCATCATTTCTTTGTTTGCTTACCAAGAGAGGAATGGCAAGGGCCACAAATGATAGATTTTGCCCAGATTCTGCCATATATTCACTGACTTGTGTATTGGATATATGAGCATGGAGTCAGTGCCTTTAAAATCATATAACACCCCTAAGTAGGAATCAATTGTCAGACCAGCAATACTTTCAACCAAAAGGATACACTGAATTCTAATCAAATTATCTTAGGACAGGGCTGTTTTCTGGTTAGGGCAATTCGGCAGGTTCTGATATGCTACAGCTGGCCTAACCCACAAATCCCTCTGTTCCAAGGAACTACCGGAACCAAGGTCCAAAAGGGACTTGCTGGCCACTTCATGACATGCTCTGCTAATCCAGGTTCAAGGGAGAGCATCTCTGAAGGTTATTTGTTTTCCCCTGCCACAACTGTGTATTTTTTAAATATGCCACCCTTCAGCTAGCTGGATTATAATGAGAATTTCATGTGTGAAATCCTGAACCCCTTGTAGACAATAGGAGCCTGGCCATTGAGTTCAGTGGGGCTTGGAGTTCCTCCCGCCCCATTTTTGAAAGGCAACAGGCACTCTTTACTAAATTGAAGCATTAGGTTTGGAGTATCTAGGGCTCAGCCCTTCCGAGCCCCAAGGCCAATACATTGAGTACCCCTGGAGGCTTCTGTAAGGGTTCTTCTGCCTTAGAACATCAGTCATTAGAATGCCACTACGGGCCCAATCCAAAGCCCATTGAAGGCAATGGGAATCTTTCAACTGATTTCAGTGGGCCTTGGAACAGGCTCTATGATAGGAAATGCCCCTGATTTTCTGTTTGCAATTAATAAATCAGATGGATAATTTCCATTTGTCCCAGATCTCTTACTTTAAAACATCAGGGAATTGTCGCAAAAGCATTTTTCAAAGTCTTCGTAGGCTAAAATGCCCTGGATAAAAAATGTGACTGGATACCAAAAAACAAGTCCTTTCAATGAACAGAATTTGGCAGTGCTTTAAAGCATGGAAGTGCTAAATATATTACCCATATCTCAGCTGACAAGGAGCTTGTAATCTTCACCTAAAGGGAGCCCAAAGTTTTCACTATTAGCAATGGATTGTACAATGAGGGAAGAACAGTATGTCAGTCATTTCTGCCACCCTTGTTGGCAGAAACTCACCTCAACATGGAAAACATGGAGTTTGCTTCTCAGAAAGATTTTTGACCAACAGTCCTCTGAGCCACTTACCTTAACAGGTCAGTTTGTCTGTACCAGCTTATGGGACAACATGAGCTTGAGACTCCAACTGCCTTAGCCATGGAAGATGGGAGGTACATTCACTTGAGGGGGATAAGAGGCAGAGATGTTCTGATAATATCCCTGAAGAAGACATACGCTAGCTTCTCATCAAGGGAGCATTGCAACAACCAAACATTGGGTTCTGCCGGGCCATACAAAAAGCTACTTGGGTGGGTGGGTCATATTTGATAAGATGGTCAGTATGCTGTATAGGAATGTCTGTAGGACATCACGTTTAGAAGGTCTCATTGGCCCTTGCAAGCATTAGTATATATATACTGGGATGTGCCACATCCATATTTATCAGTAATATAAAAATTGCTCAGGAAAATCACATTGCTCATATTTTCCATTGCATCCGCTGCATAGATACGTTTTCCAACCTGTAAAGTGTCAGTGCAAATTCAGGGGTATGCAGAAGCCCAAGACTAATTTATCTCTCATATCAAGGTATTAATTTGGCCCTTCGTTTCTAAGTTTTTTTTAGATTCTTCTTCAGTTGAGTGCTCTATTGTTCCGAGCACTGTAGCATTGTATATACATTTTCAATTATATCTGTATGAACATGTATGATACCAAGTGGGTAGTTAGATTAATCTCAAACGTTTGCCTCCTTATGGGTTCCAAGAGAAGTTAGCTAGTGATTAGATCAGGGGACTGAAAATTCATAGAATCAGCGACATCCATTCTAAAGGGAGAAGTCCTGGCAATTGAGCTTTCCTTCCAGTGCAGCATTGTTCCAACAGTACATGTTTGGTAATTTATCCAATCTAGTTGTAAATACCCATAAGAGTGAGAACAAATGGCACCTGGAGATCAAACTGGCCAGGAAAGGATCCTGAGAGGAAGATTGAGAAAGACACATGGGGGGACCAGCGCTGGACAAAGAATCAGCCCTTCTGCTGCTGCTGCTTGTGTGACACTGGAAGCAGCTGCTCAAGTTATTCATGCTCCTAGGAGTCCTTCTGCTAGATCCAGACCTAGGACAACTTCACATGCCCTCCTGACGTCAGTCCTGCATAAATCACGAATAATCTGGTGAGGAGGGAGGCTGTGTGCAGCTGCATGGAGTCAGAACACAAATGCTCATGAATGCTGCTGATGTAGGATGCTATCTATGT